AGACCCCCTTGGGGAGTCATGATGCTCTCTTTTGACCCCACTAGAAACCTATCAGTCTTCGCTGTTAGGTAAAATGCAGGCGAAAACCCAACTCTGGGGAAACCTCTTGTGTAAAAAAACCATATGCAGGGGGGGGGGTCGGACACTCCCAGGACGTCATCAGGGGAAGAGGGAGAGTAGTATTCATATTGAGTAATTGTGGAGGAGGGGGGAAGAGGAGGAGGAGGAGGAGGAGGAGGAGGAGGAGGAGGAGGAGGAGGAGAGGACGGGAGGACCGAGGAGGAGGAGGAGTAGGAGGCAGGGGAGGATTAGAGGGAGGGAGGGGGAGGAGGTGGAGGATGTACGGCCGTTCGGTGCCTCGAGTCCCGAGGGCCGACCTTTCTCGGGGAACGAACGACGGGGGGGGCCCACGAGCGCCCCCGCGGTACGCAGAGATCCCGAATGCAGAAGGCGGCAGTCTCCCGTTTCGGGCATAGCCCGGACCCCGGGTAAGGGGACCCGGTCAGTGGTAGGGCCCTGGGGCCCCTCCATTGGCCAGATTCACTCCACCAGGTTTGCCGCAACTGGTGTCTTTCGGGTGACGGCAGTTCCGGTTCGCGGAACGGGGCGGGGGGGGGGGCGCCCCAGGGTGCACATCACTAAACCAGGTTCCACTCGAAACCCAGTTCTGCCAACGCCCGACCGTTGCTCTGCGGAGGGATGGCGCTCTCGTGGGCGACCTCCGTCGGGCACGTGCGCGGCCTCGGGAGCGCCAGGGCTGCAGGTGAGTCACGAGGGGGCCGGTCGCTCCGAGGGCGTACATCCTCCACCTCCTCCCCCTCCCCCCCCCTCCTCCTCCTTCTCCTCCTCCTCCTCCTCCTTCTCCTCCTCCTCCTCCTCCTCCTCCTCCTCCTCCTCCTCCTCATTCTCCTCCTCGTCCTCATCCTCCTCCTCATCATCCTCCTCCTCCTCCTCCGAAGCCGGTGTCAGCTGCGACGGGCTGCGGCTTGGGGAGCGCGGGTCGGGTGTGATTTGGTTGGCGTTGTGGTTTGAGGCCTGCTCAGCCTGCTTAGGCGCCAAGGGGTTGGGATTGAAGAAGGGTTTGGGCTTCGGGGCCGCAGGCTCTTGTATCTATGTATTCGGGATTGGCCTCGGG